GAGCTGCGGGGGGGTGGGGAGCCCTGCCCCTCAGGGCCCCAGCCCTGCCCCGCCCAGGGGATCTGTGCGGCAGGAGGGAGCAGTGCACACGGTGCACCTCGGGGGCCCAGCCCTGCCCCGCCCAGGGGATCTGTGCGGCACCTACAAAATACTCTGTCTCTTTAAGAGGGGGCGGGGCAATGCCACGTTCTCGCGGAACCCTTACTTTCGCTTTGCCGAACCCTGGGGTTCCACGGAGCACCAATTGGCAAACACTGCCTTAAACCCTTTCTGGGCCTCTGAGGGTTTCATCACAACATCTATCGCTCAGATGTGCAAATATAGAATGTTCATGGGTGTCTGATTCAGGCTCCTCTCTATTATATGCAGCAGTGTACACGGCACCCAAGTCTATCCATCCTTTTTCTGGAATGAAACACATTACACCTGTGATGCTAATACATCTTTTGTCGTTCGGTACTATTTCAAATGACTTCTGTGCTCTTCAATCATGTGCGATAGCCAGGAAAATAAATGGATTCAGGAATATCAAAGAAAAATGCCACAATATTTTAATCTGTGTCCTGGGTTTTTTGGGGGGAGAAGGGGTGGTTGATTTTTATATTCCCCATTCAAAGTTTACTTGACAACTGCATTTATTTGATGTTGCAGTTGCTACAGGTTAACAATATTGTTTTATCAGGAAACATTTATCTTGAGAAAGAAAGTTATCCTAATACGGGAGATATCTTATCCAAGGACAAATAGAAAGGGGAACATTTCTAGAGGGTAATGTTAATGTCCCTAATGCTATAAAAATAAATGAAATCTGATTAACACCCTGGGGAGACGAGTAAGTCATAACTTGTATATAAAATATAGTCACCTTGATTGAGAATATTACTATTTTTGGCAGTTTAAAGCAATGTATTAAGAGATGTGAGGGTATTAAAACTGTGACAAATATCTTCATGCCCTGGCATTATAAATGAGGCTTGCAACCTCGAAACCTAGAGAGAGCTTTTAAAAGTCAGTTGCTTTGTAACTTTGGCCTAGGCTACAATTAAAAGTTTTGCCAAAAGAGCAAAATCCATTAGGGTGTGATTTAAAAAAAAAAAATTTAACTGACATAGTTATTTTGAGGATGCCCTTTAGCTGGCGTTATACAAGAAGTCAGAATAGATTAGTCTTGGAATGAATGAATCTATGTGTAATGGGGCTGTTGGCCCCTTACAAAAACTCAGTGGTGTTGTTGACTAGCTAACTCCAGTTCCAAAAGGGAAGGAAAGGGACGATGAGAAACCAGGACCCTGAGACAGACAGTCCCAAGGAACAATGGGAAGAGGCCAACACTCTGAGTCAGCTTGATTGGCAGGGTGGGAAGGCTAATGAGGGGGTCAGGAGGCTGGGTGAGAGGAGGTCCAGTCCTCCATGTGAGCTGGCTTTGCCTGGCTCAGAGGGTATGTCTACACTACAAAGTTAATTCGAACTAACAGACGTTAGTTCGAATTAACTTTGATAGGCGCTACACTAGCAAACCGCTAGTTCAAACTTAATTCGAACTAGGTAAACCTCATTCCACGAGGACTAACGCCTAGTTCGAATTAACTAGTTCGAATTGAGGGCTGTGTAGCCCCTTAATTCGAACTAGTGGGAGGCTAGCCCTTCCCAGCTTTCCCTGGTGGCCACTCTGGGCACCACCAGGGAAACTCTTCTGCCCCCTCCCGGCCCCGGAGCCCTTAAAGGGGCACGGTCTGGCTACGGTGCCCGTGCCAGGTGCAAGCCTGCCAGCACCCAGACAGCAGACCCTGCACCTGGCACAGCATGAACCAGCCACCTGCTGCCACCCAGCCCTCCGCCTCTTCCCAGGACTAGGCTGGGGGCGCCCACGCAGCCCACG